ACGATGGTTTTTTCACCGTAAGAACGTCGGACAAATGTAATTCTAAACCCAGAACCTGCAGATTACAAGTCAAGTGCTTTAGCCCCTGAGCTGCCGACGGTCTTAAAGTCGTCTCTAAGTATAAATAATATACAAAAAATAACAAGTTGATTCACCCTGATTTCTACCGAATATTTAGTTAAAATGAAATTTGTTGGCTAATTTTAAAATTGCTATATTTACGAGCTAAGTTTGAATCTGGCAAACAACCTTGAAAGGTGAGATTAAATTGGGTTCAAAAGGCGTAACGCAGTCGAGCGATACAATCTTTCATGAGAGACCGCACATGAGCAAATCCATTCTCATTTCAAAGCAGACGTTCATTCGATAAAAAGATAAGGTTTGACCACGCGAAAGAAGTATATTTCAAATTGTACGCAAATCTGTGATTGCTTAATTGCATTTTAATTTATATAATCATTAACATGGTTACCTAAAAACCTTTTTTTAGCGTCTTCACAATATTAGGCACCCGAATGCATGAATTAGTATGGTCCTCTAAACGTACGCTTCCATGGACCTGTGCCGGACGCATCGCACGCACGGAATAAACTGATTGGTTTTGTCTTGACGCGATGCGGGCAGTGCTGAATATGGACGCAACGCTATCTCAAGTCATACAAAACAAACTAAAATTCGTTGCGGGCCGTGCGTGCTGTGTGTCCGGCGCGAGCCACTGGACGCGTACCTTAAAAGTACGTCTAGTGATTGGCGTCCCACACCCCCTCACACTCCCGGGTTAAGCGACCCGGTCTTTTTCCATTTCTTAGCATGATACATACGTTTGTCTAACACGTTAAGTGTCTATTACATTATTCATCCTTTTATTTATTAAGTTTTGTATTGTATTATTATAGCATAGTAAACAAAGTGATGAGACGATTGCTGTTTTTAGTTAAACAACGGAGCGTAAATAACAACGTGTTAGATCATCATGTATGCATATGATTACTAGAATATCGTAATTGCGTGATAGATTCGTTTTCTTTTACATGCAAGTGCGCAATAGTTCTGTTAATTTCATTTTCATTGAGCTATCACTTTTTCTCTGATTCATGATATTTATAGGATGGAAAATTCGTACGTAGCGTTCGTTTTCCCGTAGCGGGCGGCGGGCGGATGCGTAGCCCGCCAGCGCCCGACCCACCTACGTCACTCGAGCTGTGGACACCGTGCGGTTCGGACGTGTCTCGCGAACCTTTAGAATACGCGTAAACGTGTATCGAGTTATACGTATCTTATCGAACGGAAGACGAGCTAAAGCGATAACATTTATAATCCGCATTGGAGCGTATTGTTGCGAGTGGAAGTGTGGTTAAATTTTGGTGCCGGCGTCATCGCCTAGTGTTGTGCCAGTGCTAGTACTACGAGAGTCTGGTGGTCAGCTTGCCCGGGACTTTTTGGTCTTTACCTGGATCAATAGGCATCACCGCTAATCCCACTGCGGTACAACAAAATACTTTTGGAAGGTAAGTCTTTGTGATTTGTTGATGATATTTATCTTTGCGCGAAACATTCGTATCATTTTCAGTTTGTAATTTTTTGTCCTAAGTTTTATTTGAGGTAATATTTGTGTTTATATACAATAATTTAACTACAGTGTGTGGATAGCAATTTAAAATTGTGTCACATCCACATTCAGTACATTAAATAGTATAGCTTGGACGTTACAATATGTCTACACAATACGAAGTATACAATAGCTTAAACTAAAGTACTATATGTTTTATAAATACACACGTCAACCAAATCCTAATCTAATCTACACACATTTCAAAGCAATTCGTTACCACATTAACCAAGATTATCCTCTATTTAATGTATTTTCAATCGAATTTTTAAAAGGATGCATTAAAAAAAAACAATTCACACAAGGAAATTAGCTCGGTTTGACAATCATTATCTTCAAATGGTTGCTATTAGTTCATTTTTACGTCCGATTATGAGATGAATATCTTCATAAGAATAGCACATATTATTTCACAAGTAATAACAACTCTTTCTCAAGTTACAACAAAGTTTATGTTTGTAAGTCATTCATACACATATTCATAGTAGTTTGTGTACACAAGTTGTATTGTGATTGTTATTGATAACATGTGAATGATTGTGAATCGTTGTGAATCAGATTAGGCAGTTGTACGCGATTAGAAACGAGCGGTCGGCGAGCGCTACAAAAACAACGCCTACCGCGTCGGCCCTGACAGGATTTCAACATTTAATCACCGAGTTACGTAACTAGATGTGGTCGGCTGGATTCGCAATCGGTCTCGGTCAAGTGCTAAAACATCGCGATACAAACAAGTTTTAATATTTCCCGCCTACCGACTTTATATTGCGACTAACTGAAATGATTCGACACCGATTTCTGTATTACTTTATTTACCAACGATATAAATGTTTTTTGAAAGCAAAAACAGACTCGTAAAAATATTTGAATGTTTATCAATATCCGAACCGAAAGAAACTTCACCATACAAATTGTTGAGACTATTTAAATAAGCGAAATGGTCCACTTTAAGCATTTGATATTCCTCTGTTTACTTTAATTTCTTCGTTGGGTTAAAACGAGATGTATGCGATTTTACAGTCGATTCTTTCCATTAAATTTTATTTTTTTGCACGTCTATACAAAGTTAGAAAGTACATAGATCGTTGTAGTCTGTAGAAGGGCGACGGTAAAATTGGGGTGGCAACAGACACCCTATAGAGTTCAATGCCAGACGCGGTCGGTCCCTTCCACATCCCGATGCCGAATCCCCTCCGCTACCGACGTCTTTGCGACGAAATAA